GCACATTATACTGTTCTTCTCTGAGAGAAGAAAAGTCCAAGGGTTCTAACTCTCTGACAGACTTTGAGTAAAGAAAGGAGGGGCATAGATGGAGTCCCTGAGAAATACGGACCAGATGATTGCCAATTTCGTTAACAACATCTAGTGGGTTTGCTATATCAACACCGGCAACCCGCAGAACAGGAGCCGGGTCAGGAGAATATTTACCACTCAGTTTTCGTTATTTTTTCCAGACTGCACTCATAGAGGAAGCAGAGGTGATGGTGGAGACATAATCTCGCCAGCAAGTGCGTTTAGCGTCACGGATGACACGGCAAGCGATCGCATGCTTCTGCTTAAAATCAAGAAATCTCTCCGTGGTTCTATTGTACCGGTACCTGCCCCACGCAGCGCGTTTCAAACGTACTGCACGAACACAAGCAGGAAACCACCAAGGCACGCATTTCTGAGAATGCCTGCCCGAAGTTTAGATTATAGAATGAGAAGCTGCGGTTAAAACGGAGGACGAGAAGAGGTGTAACAGCTCATCAATGGAGGACGAAGAAGGAACCTCACTAAAAACAGTTGTGAGTAAAGGTTCCAATTTGCCTGATCAAATTGCCAGCGTGGGTTACGAAGAGGTGGTGAATATGAAGGGGAAGTAAGAATGATTGGGAAATGATCGCTGTCATGTAAATCCGGGAGAACAGACCAGGTGAAGTCTAATGCGGCAGAGGAAGAGCAGACTGAGAGATCGATGCAAGAGAGAGTACGAGTCCGAGGATCAAAATGGGTGTGAGTACCTGTATTTAAAACATGGAGGGGGTGGGTAGCAAGAAAAGCCTCTAACTGAATGCCACGGGAATCACAGTGAGAATCCCCCCAGAGGAAATGATGGGCATTAAAATCGCCAAGTAACAGAAGTGGTGGCGGTAATGACGAAACAAGAAAGGCAATATCCAGGATAGATAATGCCCGAGAAGGAGAGAGATACAAAGAACAGAGTTTATACCACCTATGCAAGTGGATACGGGCTGCTGTGTAATGCAGGAAAGTACGAACAAATAGCTGATGGTACGGAATATCAGTGCGTACAAGAAGGGCACTTTCATTAAAGGTCCCATCAGGAAAAGGATCTGAAGAATACAATAAATTATAGCATGAGATGGGATAGATAACGGCAGAGTGTAATTTTGGTTCCTGTAAGCAAACACCAACAGGGGAAAACTGGGAGAGCAACATCTGAAGCTCACCCCGATTACCCGCGAATATTCCACTGTAAATAGGCCATGATTGGTAACGATAAAGATACCTGAAATCTGCAGGTAAGGGTACCTACGGACTAGAAGGGTTAGAAAAGTCCACATGCGGTGGCAAAGGAAAACGTTCAAGTAGCGAAGGAACAGTGCATTGTGAAGAAAGGAGTTGCACAGATGGAGAAGAGGAAAGAGAAGGAACAGAGGGTGGATCAGTGTCCATTGATGGATTGGTCTCTGCAATATATTCAAAGATTGCTTCAAGTGTTTCGGAGTTCAGAGACGTCGTATGGGAGACAATATTGGAGATGGAAGGACGAGGAGTTTGAGTAAAGATCGGAGCTGTAATGGACTGTACCAAGGTAGGGAAGGGGGCGAAAGGGTGGAGGGAGCTGGAGAAGTGTGGGAGGGGACATAAGAGGCAGAAACCCGGGAGGTGGCAGAAAAGGAAGAAACTTGGGAGGGGACAGGGGAGGAAGGCACAGCACGAGGAGGAGGATGAACCTCCACACTTGTAACCGAGCCAGTGAAAGGGAAAGACCTAGGTACAGAGACTGGGAAGGTAAAATGTGGAGGTGGATGAAGGGAAAGAGGAGTTAAAGAAGATTTGTTGGACCTCTGAGAAGTAGAGGGACAATTGGGAGGAGGTGTCGTACGAGGTCTTGTCGATACCGGGGTTTGTGAGGGAGAACATGAAGAAGTGAGGACAGACTGAGGTGTTGAAGTAGGGACGTCTGAGCCCAGGACACCAAAAGAATTAGATACAGGAGTGACTATGGGACTGGCAACCGCAGAGGAGGCTGCAGAAGATGGGACCCCATAAGTGGGGGGACGTTTTGAAACACGAGAATAAGAAACACAGGGTAGTCTCCCTTGGAGGCGGAGATGAGAAACTGCCATAGCATAAGGGAGACCTTCTGCCTCTTTGAGGCAATGAATTTCCCGCTCATTTAAGTAGGCCTGGCAACGGCGAGAGTACGAAGGGTGAGCCTCATGACAATTAAGGCAAGAGGGAGGTTGACTGCAAGATGTACTAGAATGGTCATCGGCACCACAGACTGGGCATTCGGCTATAGATCTGCAATATTTCGCTGGGTGACCAAAACGCCAACAATTCCTACTGTTGCGGTGTAGGGATCACGTTCCGAACCTGTAACCGATGTCTTCGCCTTCGCCCGCGGGCAGGAAGGACATAAGTGTCTACTTTGAGAATTGGGAGATCTTGGAGTTCCAGCTGTTCGAGAATGTCATTGCCATATGTCTGGAAATTCTGTTGGACTATGGTATGGGGCAGAATAACAGTACCATTACAAGAATTGAGGGAATGATGTTTTTCGATAGTGATAGGAATAGTATCGATATGTGAAAGAAGAGAAAGATTACGAGCTTGGGTAGAATTCTGGACTGTGATGATGCGCGTACCACTCTTAAGAGCATGAAAGGAAATATCTCTACCAACATGGCGTAGGAGCGCTTTGCCAATACTATGGTCGTAAAGATAGGCAGTAGAAGAAGTCGGTCTTAAAGTAAAGAATTTAGTCAATTGTGTGGTCCGAAACTGAGTGTGGAGAGGGAGTGCATGACCTGTCGGTCTTTTCTGAGTAGAATGGGTAGGTAACGAAATAACATCGTCAGGAGATTGTCGTTGGCATTTAGAAGTGGGACCAGAGTCGGTCCGACGTGAGATGGGCTGGCGATTCGAAAATCGTCGCAGCACAGAGGGAGAGGCCTTTTTTTTGGAAGCATAGTCAAAGGAGAGTGGAGGTCAGACAAATCAAAGGAGTCAGTGGAAGCCCCGGTACCTGAAGGGTGAGGAAACAGCACCAGCAAGAGGTACAGGGGCCTTAGGAGTGTCCAAAGAGTGGCCAAAAGACGAGGCGAGGTCAGAACAGGGTGCGGTAACAATAAGGGGCCAGGGGGTAGCGGGGTTATGGATTTGGGACTCCATGGTTAGGTTACTTCTTTCTTTTTGTTTTTAAGAAAAAAAGAAAATAAAATAAAAATAAAAAAAGAATAAAAAAAGGGGGGACCGGGGAGGGTTAGTTCCTAGGAGGAATGAAAGGGCCAGAAATCTCCCTCTGCGCCCAAGAGGACCTCAGCATCGCAAGTAGCGCAGATGCAGCATGGAACCCATGCCATACCCTACCCTTCACGCCAGTAAACCAGCAATCCGGGATAGCAACCTCACATCTGCCGAGCTACCTCGGTGGACAAAAGAGAGGGCGGCCGGATATCCACCACAAAGCATACCTCCTTCGGCCACCACCCCCGGAATCAGAAAGGTGGCTTCCAGAGATACACCCGTCACCCAAAAGACACCCAAAGCCACCCTTTGGGATACCGGAGAGGGATCGGGACATCCCCAGGCAATCCAGATCCCACGGCAAACTACGCCACTGCCAAGAACCTCAACGGAATGGGATGAACCCCGGTACCCTTCCCCCTACCTATGAACTAGTGTGCCTGTGGGAAAAAATCCCAAAGGCCAAAAAGAGGAAGGGCAAAAGGGAGGGGTGGGGAGGAGGAGGAGGAAAGGAAAAAGGGGAGGATGGGGAGGATGGGATAGAGAAGGGGGGATTGGGGGTAATTAGGTTCGGTCTGAGGAAGGAGACCGACAGGTCTAATTCCTCAGACCAAGAGCCTCTTCACCACGCCAAGGAGCCCCCCTTGAAGAGGCCCTGGCCATAGCGTACTTACCCACTTCACGTCTCACACTGCCCTGGCCATAGCGTACTTACCCACTTCACGTCTCACACTGCCCTGGCCATAGCGTACTTACCCACTTCATGTCTCACACTGCCCTGGCCATAGCGTACTTACCCACTCCACGTCTCCCACTGCCCTGGCCATCGTGTAGTTACCCACTCCACGTTTCCCACTACCCTGGCCATAGCGTACTAACCCACTCCACGTCTCCCACTACCCTGGCCATAGCGTACTAACCCACTTCACGTCTCCCACTGCCCTGGCCATAGCGTACTAACCCACTTCACGTCTCCCACTACCCTGGCCATAGCGTACTAACCCACTTCACGTCTCCCACTACCCTGGCCATAGTGTACTAACCCACTCCACGTCTCCCACTACCCTGGCCATAGCGTACTAACCCACTCCACGTCTCCCACTACCCTGGCCATAGCGTACTAACCCACTCCACGTCTCCCACTGCCGTGGTCACGGCTTCCTTTATTAAGTTTAAATCCTATTAACTATACGAGGGTTATTAAGATTTGCGTGTTACCTGTTAGCCACCTGTCAAAAATACTTTAATACGTATTATTATTATTATTATTATTATTATTATTATTATTATTATTATTATTATTATTATTATTATTATTATTATTATTATCAAAAAGAAGCGCTAAGCCACAAGACTTTAATACGTAAAATAGGGATTAAAGAAAATTGTCAGTGCATGTACGTTGAGAGAGAGAGACCTCATGGTGAATATGTCCTGTCTCCTGAATTGTTCTATCTCCTTCTGTGTCAGTAGAAATAAGTCACTGTCTGACTGTGTGTGTGTGGGGAGGGGTTATTCTAGGTAATTTACACTATATCTGATAATTGTACTTATGTATACCTGTACCTATATAAACTTACTTAACTCACAGTGTTGATGAGACATGGAGGTCTGTGTGTTGATGTATATAGGGCCTCTGACTGGGTTACGCCGTGTCGAGCCCTGTTATTGTGGTCACTATATCCTAGATGTGGTGTGATTGTGTTGTATATATCACTTGGTAATCACGTGTCTGGTCACAGGTTGGTGGCGGTATCGTCAATTATGGTTTCGGTCACAGTGAGATCGACAGAACAGCGGAGTGTCCGCCAGCGGAGGTCCGCATCTTGGCCAGCGACTCCGGCCCATCACACGATTCCGGCCCCTCGGCATCAGCTGCGTCCAAGGATTCCTGGGTTCGGAAAGTGGAGTCCCATCGGGACCTGGAGAGTGCGAGCGCTCCTGTTGTGCACGTAGCTCCCGTTGACATGCCACCCACGCCTTCCCTCACCATTGCACCAACAGAGGACAGATCTCGCTCACAGGAACAGCTGGAACTGCTCCTCTCACCCAAGACACTCGTGTGACGGCTTCACTGGACATATCGATCTCGATTCTTACGGACAGTAAATTCAGTAACCAGAATGTGAGAACAATCAAGTATGACTTTCAAAAGAGGGTTAAAAGTATGATATAATTGTGCCTTTATAACAGCTGCGAGTTGGGTAAAGCAACCATTAAGTGGAATAGGCTTGTTAAAGTTAACATAACTACGACCAGGTCCTCTAACCTGGCCCCACAACACCTGCTGCACCATCCAGCTCTTATCAACACAAACACAGATCACTGGTGACGACATGAGAGGGAGATGAGGTGGGAGTGTGTTAGACAATGAGAGGGACAGCAACACGTGTATTACAACTGTGATATATAGTATTGCAATGACGATGAACATTTCTACATCTTTGATTATATATAAAATTTGTAATTATAACCAAAAATTAAACTCAAATTTTTGTGATTATATAGTACAGTAAATTCTCACTTAACGTCGTTTCGTTATAACATCGACGAGAAAAAAATTTCCCGGCCGGGGCCAATGCGTGTGGAGTTCTCATGTTCGTTGTTGATCTGCATGGTGGTAGGTGGCGCTCCTTGCAATTTTCACTTTGCAAACATATATTCCTTGATTTAACCCCCATTGCAATGAGTGTTATAGGTGCACTGTGCACCACTGATGTTTATTTCAATTAGCTTACGGTAAAATTGGTTTCATTATTCGTCGAGTCCCTTAAAGTCGCAGTTTCCAAGAACTTATTGACGACGTTAAGTGAGGACTTTATATATATATATATATATATATATATATATATATATATATATATATATATATATATATATATATATATATATATATATATATATATATATATATAAGTCGTGCCGAATATGTAGAACTTGCGATCTTGGCTTAAATAGCAACGCTCATCTTGCCATATAGGACAAGTGAAAATTTGTGTATGTAATAATTTCCCCAAAATCATTCTGAACTTAACGAAAAAAATATATTTCACTGTGTTTGTTTAGTATTAAATTATTGTAAACAAATCTAAAATATATTTAGTTGGGTTAGGCTAAAATAAATTGTTCTTGTTATAATAAGGTTAGGTAAGTTTTCTAAGATTCTTTTGATGCAAAATTAAAAACTTTTACATTAACATTAATGAAAAAAATATATCTTTAAAGTATAAGAGAAAATTTTAGAAAGGACTTAATTTTAAATGAGTTCTTGCTAATTGACCAGTTTTACATATTCGGCATGACATATATATATATATATATATATATATATATATATATATATATATATATATATATATATATATATTATATATATATATATATATATTCTGTGTCTAAGTGTAGTTTATATGACAATATTAATTTTCAAAACAACGTAAATCAAAATATACATTTTGAACAAATATTTTTCCAAATGCATTGACTGGACACAAGTCTTAAGACTCAGCCTGGACGTGGGGACTCAGGAAGTCCTCAAGTCTTAAGACTCAGCCTGGACGTGGGGACTCAGGAAGTCCTCAAGTCTTAAGACTCAGCCTGGACGTGGGGACTCAGGAAGTCCTCAAGTCTTAAGACTCAGCCTGGACGTGGGGACTCAGGAAGTCCTCAAGTCTTAAGACTCAGCCTGGACGTGGGGACTCAGGAAGTCCTCAAGTCTTAAGACTCAGCCTGGACGTGGGGACTCAGGAAGTCCTCAAGTCTTAAGACTCAGCCTGGACGTGGGGACTCAGGAAGTCCTCAAGTCTTAAGACTCAGCCTGGACGTGGGGACTCAGGAAGTCCTCAAGTCTTAAGACTCAGCCTGGACGTGGGGACTCAGGAAGTCCTCAAGTCTTAAGACTCAGCCTGGACGTGGGGACTCAGGAAGTCCTCAAGTCTTAAGACTCAGCCTGGACGTGGGGACTCAGGAAGTCCTCAAGTCTTAAGACTCAGCCTGGACGTGGGGGACTCAGGAAGTCCTCAAGTCTTAAGACTCAGCCTGGACGTGGGGACTCAGGAAGTCCTCAAGTCTTAAGACTCAGCCTGGACGTGGGGACTCAGGAAGTCCTCAAGTCTTAAGACTCAGCCTGGACGTGGGGACTCAGGAAGTCCTCAAGTCTTAAGACTCAGCCTGGACGTGGGGACTCAGGAAGTCCTCAAGTCTTAAGACTCAGCCTGGACGTGGGGACTCAGGAAGTCCTCAAGTCTTAAGACTCAGCCTGGACGTGGGGACTCAGGAAGTCCTCAAGTCTTAAGACTCAGCCTGGACGTGGGGACTCAGGAAGTCCTCAAGTCTTAAGACTCAGCCTGGACGTGGGGACTCAGGAAGTCCTTAAGTCTTAAGACTCAGCCTGGACGTGGGGACTCAGGAAGTCCTCATGTCTTAAGACTTAGCCTGGACTTAGGGACTCAGGAAGTCCTTAAGTCTTAAGACTCAGCCTGGACGTAGGGACTCAGGAAGTCCTCAAGTCTTAAGACTTAGCCTGGACGTGGGGACTCAGGAAGTCCTTAAGTCTTAAGACTCAGCCTGGACGTGGGGACTCAGGAAGTCCTTAAGTCTTAAGACTCAGCCTGGACGTGGGGACTCAGGAAGTCCTTAAGTCTTAAGACTCAGCCTGGACGTGGGGACTCAGGAAGTCTCTAAAAAAATACCGACCTTTTTTTCAACTTTGAATACGAGAGGAATTTAATAAAAATTTGAACAGATTACTTAGATAAATGTGTATAGCCTATTTTAGCAATGTATATGACTCCGCTTACAATGTATCTTAACCCTCAGTTACTGTATCCACTTGTATCATTCAGTAAACAGGTCCCGTGTTGAGTTACTCACTACATGGACAAATGGTTCTCGAAACAGGGGTCGCGACCCCCGAGTCAGGAGTGGCAGATGCCGAGAAGTGTTGGTAGGGAGGAGTGGTCTGGGATCCAACCTGTGGGAGGGGGGAGAAACCCCAGAAACGGTCTTTGAGTGACCCCCCCCTCAGATATGCAGTAATTGTGCAGCTTTCACAGTTCAGTTGTACAGTGTCGACTTTCACCGTTCAGCTGTACAGTGTCGACTTTCACTGTTCAGTTGGACAGTGTCGACTTTCACTGTTCAGTTGGACAGTGTCGACTTTCACTGTTCAGTTGTACAGTGTCGACTTTCACTGTTCAGTTGTACAGTGTCGACTTTCACTGTTCAGCTATAGTGTCGACTTTCACCGTTCAACTGTACAGTGTCGACTTTCACTGTTCAGTTGTACAGTGTCGACTTTCACTGTTCAGTTGTACAGTGTCGACTTTCACTGTTCAGTTGTACAGTGTCGACTTTCACTGTTCAACTGTACAGTGTCGACTTTCACTGTTCAGTTGTACAGTGTCGACTTTCACTGTTCAGCTATAGTGTCGACTTTCACTGTTCAGCTATAGTGTCGACTTTCACCGTTCAACTGTACAGTGTCGACTTTCACTGTTCAGTTGTACAGTGTCGACTTTCACTGTTCAGTTGTACAGTGTCGACTTTCACAGTTCAGTTGTACAGTGTCGACTTTCACTGTTCAACTGTACAGTGTCGACTTTCACTGTTCAGTTGTACAGTGTCGACTTTCACTGTTCAGTTGTACAGTGTCGACTTTCACTGTTCAGTTGTACAGTGTCGACTTTCACAGTTCAGTTGTACAGTGTCGACTTTCACTGTTCAACTGTACAGATGTCGACTTTCACTGTTCAGTTGTACAGTGTCGACTTTCACTGTTCAGTTGTACAGTGTCGACTTTCACTGTTCAGTTGTACAGTGTCGACTTTCACTGTTCAGTTGTACAGTGTCGACTTTCACTGTTCAACTGTACAGTGTCGACTTTCACTGTTCAGTTGTACAGTGTCGACTTTCACTGTTCAGTTGGACAGTGTCGACTTTCACTGTTCAGCTATAGTGTCGACTTTCACCGTTCAACTGTACAGTGTCGACTTTCACTGTTCAGTTGTACAGTGTCGACTTTCACAGTTCAGTTGTACAGTGTCGACTTTCACTGTTCAGCTATAGTGTCGACTTTCACCGTTCAACTGTACAGTGTCGACTTTCACTGTTCAGCTATAGTGTCGACTTTCACCGTTCAGTTGTACAGTGTCGACTTTCACTGTACAGTTGTACAGTGTCGACTTTCACCGTTCAGTTGTACAGTGTCGACTTTCACCGTTCAGTTGTACAGTGTCGACTTTCACCGTTCAGTTGTACAGTGTCGACTTTCACCGTTCAGTTGTACAGTGTCGACTTTCACTGTTCAGTTGGACAGTGTCGACTTTCACTGTTCAGTTGTACAGTGTCGACTTTCACTGTTCAGTTGTACAGTGTCGACTTTCACTGTTCAGTTGTACAGTGTCGACTTTCACTGTTCAGTTGTACAGTGTCGACTTTCACTGTTCAGCTATAGTGTCGACTTTCACCGTTCAACTGTACAGTGTCGACTTTCACTGTTCAGTTGTACAGTGTCGACTTTCACTGTTCAGTTGTACAGTGTCGACTTTCACTGTTCAGTTGTACAGTGTCGACTTTCACTGTTCAGTTGTACAGTGTCGACTTTCACCGTTCAACTGTACAGTGTCGACTTTCACTGTTCAGTTGTACAGTGTCGACTTTCACTGTTCAGTTGTACAGTGTCGACTTTCACTGTTCAGCTGTAGTGTCGACTTTCACTGTTCAGTTGGACAGTGTCGACTTTCACTGTTCAGTTGTACAGTGTCGACTTTCACTGTTCAGTTGTACAGTGTCGACTTTCACTGTTCAGCTGTAGTGTCGACTTTCACTGTTCAGTTGGACAGTGTCGACTTTCACTGTTCAGTTGGACAGTGTCGACTTTCACTGTTCAGTTGGACAGTGTCGACTTTCACTGTTCAGTTGGACAGTGTCGACTTTCACTGTACAGTGTCACGGACAAGTGTACAATACTTGGGTATCTCTATTAACCACACATATCGCCCGCGTAGCAGGCTTCTTCAGCCGATGACACAGATGAATTTTACACTGTAGAGAGTGCAAGACAGACCTGATAGACCTATCATCTTGGTCTACTCATCATGCCAGGGCTGTCACCCTGATAGACCTATCATGCTCGTCTACTCATGCCAGGGCTGTCACCCTGATAGACCTATCATCCTGGTCTACTCATCATACCAGGGCTGTCACCCTGATAGACCTATCATCCTGGTCTACTCATCATACCAGGGCTGTCACCCTGATAGACCTATCATCCTGGTCTACTCATCATGCCAGGGCTATCACCCTGATAGACCTATCATCCTCGTCTACTCATCATGCCAGGGCTGTCACCCTAATAGACCTATCATCCTCGTCTACTCATCATGCCAGGGCTGTCACCATGATAGACCTATCATCCTGGTCTACTCATCATGCCAGGGCTATCACCCTGATAAGACCTATCATCCTGGTCTACTCATCATGCCAGGGCTGTCACCCTGATAGACCTATCATCCTCGTCTACTCATCATGCCAGGGCTGTCACCCTGATAGACCTATCATCCTGGTCTACTCATCATACCAGAGCTGTCACCCTGATAGACATATCATCCTGGTCTACTCATCATACCAGGGCTTTCACCCTGATAGACCTATCATCCTGGTCTACTCATCATGCCAGGGCTATCACCCTAATAGACCTATCATCCTCGTCTACTCATCATGCCAGGGCTGTCACCCTAATAGACCTATCATCCTGGTCTACTCATCATG